ATATATATATATATATGTATTGCATTAAATAGCTTTCCAACTAAATTTACCAACAAAACACACCAAGGATTACACGTTTTACTTTCATTTCACGTGTACGTATAAATGATTAACAAGTGCAAATGACTTCTTAAATGTTGAAAATGTTTTATAATTTTTTATCCACCGCATAAGTTGTGCTTAAAATATATTAAAAGTTTACACAAAATAATTGGGAAGTGTAAAACAAAAATTATAATTAATTTTAATAATACAATTAATTGTAGAATTGATTCAAATTGAGCAAAAATAATAATGTAAAGTTTGCTGAGTTATCACAATTACAGATTAACAACAATCTTTGCTGACTGTTACAATTATGACTGTAGTTCATGTAAATTTTATGATTGACTAATTTTCTTAATTTTCTTCTTTCAAGTAAATAATAACAATAACAATAACAATAACAATAATAATAATAATAATAATAATAATGACGACAATAACAATAACAATAATAATGAGAGCAAACATGTTTTGATGTAAACTAATGCAATTTCAATGGACTCTTGTCTGATGTTACGAGAAAATATAAACAAGAATTTTGTTTCAGCTCGCTTTCATTACTAGTCAGATGACCGACCGTAGATCAATAATGAAAAGTTTAAATATGCAAATTTTCATGTAATTATGTACTTAACAAAATATTGCATATATGTAGGACATTGTATCAGTTCTTCAACATGCTATATTGGTGGATGATTGTAGATTTCTGTATGTTTTTTATTTTGCTATCTAAACTAGCCATTAGATTCGTACTGTTGCATCTAATTTGTGTCTAAGTTATCTACAAAATAGCTATAAAACATTTATCAATTATTGATATTAACATTTGTATCAAAATAGTAAGATTATTTCTTATCTATGTAATTTTATAAATCAAATCTATATAGATAAATTCTAATCAGACATAAAATAGTAAAGTTAGCATGTAAAAACTCATAATTTTTAAATAATCTTTTTTCACCTGCATATTTTAATCGCGAATTTTTTGCTAAAGAAAAAAAAACGTGAACTTTGACGTGAATGCCACTCGTATTTTTTTTTTCATAAATTAATTATTTTGTAAAGGATAATTACAATGGTTATGTTAATTTTGGATTACGTTCGTTCTTTTCGCCATCCTAAAAATGTTATCATGCGACCAGTTCATATCTCATCTATGGCTTATACGCCAGGTTAATAAATTCAAAAGTAATTACGCCATTTTCAGCCTTAGCATATTATTTTAGCAAAAAGTAATTGCTTACAAATAAATCTTACCCTTTGAGTTTTTATATATTCTAAGTTTTGATAATAAATTTTATAGAGTTATTTTTCAGCAAATTATGATTAATAATTTCAAAGGTCACTTTTCTTTACAGCATTTTTGGTGAGTGGTGTTGTGACATTGATCGGTTTTACGACTTACTTATTGTTAAAACAAGTTCGTGAAGAAAGACGTGATGAATGGAAGGAAGGTTACACTCCAAATTATCCAAAGATTCCGTGGCATCTGGACAAGGTCAGCTTTCATTCTGTCTAATTCTTAGAGTAATCTTGCTAAGGTTGTATAAAAATAATCTATTCTTAATGTTATTATTTGCAACATTTGATCCTTTACGGTTTTTTGTAACATTTTACTCATTGAGTTGACCAAATTTGTATGAAAATATAGTCAAAAAATAATTATCCCACGCATTTAACTTCTAATTTGGAAAGATACTTTATAAGGCATAATTTTGCAGTCGTCAGCTTCTGATGTCATTGTGACACAAGGATTAGCAGCTCCACCGTAACGTGAATTAAGAAGAAAAGCATTGTGATCATTTTTTTTTTCAAGTAATAAATTTGTGCTTAAAATGGCAAATATACGGAAAATAATTCTAAAAATTTCGGAATCCCCACGTACGTGAAAAGTTACCAAGTTTAGTGCAAATCTTTTTTCTTTCAATCGATTTTAGTTTTAGTCTGGAATAAGAATTAACATTTGAGCATATTAAATATTATATTTGAAATGTGCAAAAAATTTGTGCATAGCTTTTTTTGATTGAAAATTTTTTATTAAGAAAAAATAAAAGTTTGAGGCAATAATATCGCTTAGTTAATTAAAATTGCGCAAAAAATTGCAAGAAAAAGTTCAAATGTTTACAATATTACAAATGCTTAACTTTGTTTGACTGAATTTTTTGCCAACCTTTTGTACTTCAAAAAAGTTATTTTCATTTGTGTTTTGTACAAAGCAATGAGTGAGAACAGTGTCACAAGTGCAACGTAGTGAATAGACACGTAAACGAAGTTCATTCATTTAGCCTGCCTTGTCATTTAAAGACTCCCTACGTTTGTATGAAGTATCATTTTCCGTTTACTTTCACTAAATCACACTTTACTTCAAAGTTATTCAGTAAGTAATAGTACAGTGATATTTATTGTATATGTCAATTTCACGTAAACTGTTTCACGCAAATTAAGCTTTAACGCTTATTTTGACCTCTTAAGCTTTTAGTCGATATAATTTTGAGTTAAAATTTAGTCTAATTTTTTGAGTCTACACTCAAACTGACTCTCATAGTTCAATTTCCAATTTGATCTAATAGTTGGGAACGCGTTTCTGAAGAACTTTCCACATCACAGGCGACTTCCAAGAAGAGAAAATGGAGGATGAAAGCAGAAAGATCCATATGAAATAATAGCGTAAAACAATGGGAAAACAAATGAGGTTGGTTGTAAAAAGCTCCGTGAAGAACGAATGAACTCTGCCAGTGCACCAGAACCAGGAACCAGCGGGGTGATTACGTTTGAAGTACGTATTCGAGGAATCGAGGTTGCGCAGAGCACACGCAGTTCCCTGACTAGGTGCTCAAATAGTTGATTGCGTGAATTAGAGAATATGCATAATGAACTTTGACATGCTTTGAAAGACATTTGACAGTGTTAAATTATAATAGAAATATGCTAGGAATCTGATATTTATCATATTTTTCTGTCAGGTCAAAGGTTTAATGAATTTACAAACTTTAAACTGAAATAAAATGTACTCAACCCTTTTGGCAAGTATTTCAAAAAAATTTACAAAACGTTTCATTCCTTTGAATGACTCATTCATCCATTCACTCATTCATCCATTCACTCATTCATCCATTCACTCATTCAGCCATTCACTCCCTCACTCATTCATTCACTCATTCGCTGCTCATTCTCACATCTCTTTGGTCTTGCAACGTATTGCGACCCAATGCAACGACACTTACGATTTGATGCAAAGCTTTTTACATTCACTTTAAAGTTCTTATTGTAACAGTAATAGTTTAACTTCTATTCAGTCATACTTTTTTCACGTTTTTGACGTAAAATATAAGTTGTATCTATTGTCACAGAATAGTATAGTTAAGAGAATATGTAAAGAGAGAATGAAATGAAAAGATAAAAAGTATACACGTTCTTGATATACATATAGATATATGTATATGTATATGTATAAAACCAAGTCTGACCCAGATGAAGCAATTATATTCTTTTCGTAATGACTGCTCGTCTATCCCTCTCTCTTATGCTACAATTCATCATTGTATCGATCTACATTTGATGATAAAAACAATGCAAATAAGAAGAGTTAGGTTTAGGTTTAATAATTGTTCAGTAATTCATTATTTTTCCTTCTTAATCAGTTATTTACCTTATTATTTGCTAATCATTGTATTAACATGATACTGTATCAATGTATCAATATCATACTGTATTGATGTATCAAACATAATACTGTATCATTGTGCTATTATCGATCTTTATTGCAATTTGTGTAAAGTAAATATTTTAAAAGTCATTAACTGTACTAACTTGTTATTAGCTTGAGCTGATTATTTACTTTCTTTAATATTTGTAATATCTATCAGTATTATTGCCAGATTTTTTAAAAATTATAATAAGTGTCGAGTATTATTGATCTATCGATTACTGTTTAGTATGGAATGCTCATTTGCATACTGTACTATATTAGTTCTGCTAGTTTTTCATAGTTCATATATATTTTCATCAGCATTGTTATCAACTTATTATGCTGTACTGTGCACTTTTGTATGTCATATAAGTTCAGATTTTAACTAAGTTTTTAAGTCATTATGTTCATTCGCTGTTGAATCTCGTCGCAAATTATCATTCGAAGTAGATATAAAATTTAAAAATTTGTAGAGTTCAGTCTATCAAAGATCTTAACTGAATTGCAGTATATATTAGTAATTGATTGAATGGTATTTTATTGAGAGTTTCCTGCGTCGCTATGAGATTAATTCAGAATAATTGCAATGGCATTATTGATGGCAATATTTGCTGACAAAATTGACTACAGTAAAAATGGGCGAAATGAAGGATTCGGCAAAACAGGAAGACAACGGTAATATTAACAGTAATCGTGGAATAGAAGATGATAATCTTATGAGAGATTTTGCAAATTCACGACGTACGGGAAGACGTAATGCAGTACCAGAAGTAGATACTCGGGGGATTGATCCAGATGCAGTGAAACTTGCTAAACGTTTGTCTACAATGAATACAGATAGTAGAAATGGTATGTCATTCTCATCACTTATATCATAAGTTCTATATGATTATTTATTCTCTTTAATTTGTAATGGTTTATTTTTTAACAATTTTTAAGTTAGATTGCACCTTTAATCCATAAACCTGTTTTGTATTCTGTACCTGTGTAAGTTTTTACTCCTTTTTATTCTATTGTTCGTTTCAAGTCCTCTAATATTTAGTGGATATTATTAATTACTATGTATATTGATTATTTCGATTCTAGTAATTTATTACTCGTTTATGCACTCAGTTAGAAGTTAATTAGCTATTTCAGGAGAGCAAAATGGCAGTTGATAACTCAGGTATTTTGATGGCAGCCAGTGATCAGTTTTTAAATTACTCACGTGTGATATCGTTTTCTTGTCAGGATGTGAATGTTATCTCGAGTAAGATATATTTTAAAAAATGCAAAACATTTTGTTCCGAAATGAGCTTTTTGATGCTTCTTGATTTTCTGAAAGTTTTACAGTTGAATGGTATGTTACTGCAGATTGATTTACAGTTATTTGGTGTGTGGAACTGATCCTTGTTGTATATGTTTTTTTATATGTTTGAGGAGGGTTTGATTTGCTTACCAACAGAGATATTAGTGAGAATTAGTGATCTCTAACTTTTTGATCTCAGTAATGTTATGAATCGGAATGCTACAAAATTCTGGTCACTACTGCTTTTGTTTACTTTAAGCGTTTCATTGTAATCTTTTTTCTTTTTTGATTTAGTATCACGGACTTACGGAATTCGACGAAATCAGATCTGACCAGTACTTCATTTTTTGATATTTTTATTGAAAGACTTCTCAGTTGTCAGATTTATTATCATATAAATCGAATCCAAATTTTTTTTTGACAATTTTTGTCCTATTAGAATATTATGTTCATACTGGCAAACGTTATCCTCTAAGATTAATGCAATTTTGATATCAAGATGTATATGTTCGAACTCCGCGTATTTCTTGTATTTGAAAAGAAGCACTGTCATTGACCCAAAAAATTTTGTGTTTTCTAATCATAATATCCGTTATTCTTGTATTATTTTACTTGTCCTCATTTTTACTCAATATAGGGTTGCGCATTTTTTGTTGCATATTATTTTTTATTCTCAAAAGATTTAATTGAATTAAAATTTCAAATAGTTAAGTATTGTATATTCTGATGTATCCAGACTGTTCAAAAATTAGTAAACGGATTTTTTGTTTTCAGGACTGATGTCGAAATTATTTAAATAGAAAGTTCACTTTTATTACTAACACATCATTTGTATGTACCAAGAATATGAATTTAAACCTTTTGTGTTTCAATGTGGAATACTTATGCAGGTAGCACAGAAAAGTATTTATTAAAATTCTAGTTGGTAAATGTTAATTCTTCTGATATTTCTCCGAATAATGCTGTTATTTTTATCAGATTGTATGCTACTTACAATATAACTCTACTAACAGTTGATAACGTCTAAAAAATATGTTGTATAATTAGTTTAATTATTTGCGCATAGATCTATTTAATTCTGTTGTAATCTTTTTGTAATTTTTAAAATTATTCACCTCAGAATTATAATTATACTCACTTCTGTTATCATGAGTTCAGCAAAGAATGATTTCATTTTCTAGAATGATGTATATTTTGGCTTTTTCGATAGTCTAGTTTTTTCCATTTATTTCACGCAGAATATTGCCTTATCTCCGAAAAGTAGAATAGTGGTTCAAAGATATAAAATGAGTCAGAAAAAGCTGTAAAGATGTTTAGGAATGTTATAAATTTTATACTCTTCGTTATTTCAGATGATCTGCAGATCGTAATATAGCAGCTGTGATATTTTTTTTCTATTTATTTCCAGTAAAATTTATGCTTTCACTTTGTGATTAAATTTAGAAGATAAACTTTTACTTGTCATTATGGCTGAAACTAGAAATTTAGTAGCATGGCACTAAATTACGTACTAAATATTTACCAGGGAGTGTACAAATAAGTTACATCTATTAACTTCAGTAAAATTTTACTATATATTTCTATCTATGTTTTTTGTTTCACTTTCCACACATATTCTTAGTAATTGCACATTGATTCTGATATATTTAGGTTTTTCGAATGCACTAGATCCGTTCTTATGCTTAAGGCTTATTATGTTTACTTGTTGCAAGTGTTTTAAGTAGTTCATGCTAGATTCCATGTATATGGACTTAATCATATACATTATGTCGAGTGTCATTTTTTGTCTAGTAACTTTGAGAATAAGATTTAGTTCTATCAGGAAACTGTCTCATTACTTTTCCTTGCAGAACAAAACAGTAAGATTTTAATTCTGTATTGTAGGCTGTGGGGTATTTACAGAGGAAGAATTTGAAGTAATGGTGACTCCTCTACCTCGACGCATTACAAAAGAAACACAACGACTGATAGCTGATCCAGTACCAGGAATTTCGGCTGTGCCTGATGAAGGCAATGCTCGGTATTTCCATGTCGTCATTGCCGGTCCCGAGGGTAGTCCATTTGCAGGTGGTATTTTTAAGTTGGAACTTTTTTTGCCGGAAGAATACCCGATGGCTGCACCGAAAGTTCGTTTTATGACTAAAATCTACCATCCGAATATTGACAAACTGGGCCGCATATGCTTGGATATTTTGAAGGATAAGTGGTCACCGGCGTTGCAGATCCGTACTGTGCTACTTTCCATCCAGGCTTTACTTTCAGCACCAAATCCTGATGATCCTTTAGCGACAGATGTTGCGGAGCAATGGAAAAATAATGAAAGTGATGCAATACGTACAGCGCAAGAATGGACACGTATTTATGCTACAGGTGATTGAGATTTATGTGTAACCGACGGTGGTTAGATTAGTTACCAGAAAGCTGTCGTACTTTTTGTCAAAACTGTGCAATAGCTATAATTTGTCTCTGAACACAAGAGAACTGATGAGTGTACTTGTGCCTTAAGACCAAAATTTGTATTAGTTGAAGAAATTATTATAAGTATTAGTAATTTATTCTCTTAAGTAATTTTTTTCAATAAAATGACCGAATTAAAGCTAGCAGTGATGTAAACAGAAACTATATCCTGATTTCTAGTTCCTGCACAGTATATTTTTTTGTGTTAAAAACACGTTAACTTCTATATTAACATGTTTTTGCTGTGTGCTTAACGTGATACATTTTGACTTTAAGTAACATGTAATTTTCATTATCCTTGTTCTTATTGGAGACTAATAAAATTTGTTTGATTTCAGTTTCACGCAGCAAAAATTATTTCCACTTCCTTTGCTATTTTTACCTCTCATTACTGCTTTTAGCATATATTTACTAGTATATGAAAATATTCTGCAAAAGCATACTATGGATGGGAAATAGTTTACCGCTCACTTGTTTAATAAGCAATAGCTTTCGTTTCTAATTTAATATATCACACAATATGTATCGTTTCTGACATACCTATGCATTTAGTTAGGAAGAAAGATTGCCTCATAAAATTAATTAGAATCTGCATGTTCAGAACGAATGAGGCTGAAAATCATCTAATCAGAGTTAACACTGTTTTAATATGCCTGATAATTTTTATGCTTGCGACTTCAGAATTTTAAAGCAAATACACACTTCTGCATAAAAATCCCTTAAATTCTGATGACAAAAAAAATAGTTATTACATAAGCAAGGATTACAATAACGTTTTGTGAAAAATATGATGTAAGATAAGCATTAATGGACTAGCAACAGTAAAAAGTTAAGATCATAAAATATACGAATGCAATAATCTGTTTAGCCATGAGATCCACCCATCATTGAACAGCAGTATTACAGTGTAACCAATGTACTGTAGAAATAATAACTGATAAAACCAGAGCTAAAACATGATAAATCTACAAGAACAGCATAAACAAATTATTTGCCGTTTGTTCTATAGGTAACAATTTAAAATTAAATTGTAAGACTGGATCGTGTTAGAGTAAATAATGTTATAGATAATATTATGAGTTAGTAACGATATTTCAATTAAAGTAATTGCATTCAAATCATATGCAAACCTTACATAGAAGCGAATCAAAAGTTGGCAAAAAGCAATAGTTTGACATCTGCTACAGAAGTATAAACTAGACAGGTTGTATATTCAGCTGATATAAGAAAACGCTAGCACCAACATGAGCCTTCCTCTGTTTCTATTTTTCTTTGTTTAATTGGACCAATTTCAATCACTGGATCTACAATAAATATTTAAACATTTACAATACTAATAAATCAAATAAAATTTTACATTTATAGAAGGGACCACGTGAATACCACTATCATTAGAGCAATAATATTCAGCCTATAATCCATACAGCATGACTTGAAAGTGATTAGACACATTTTTTGGTTGCAGAATTCAATATTCTGAATGAAAATTATTACAATATAAATATCATTCCGATCTAGAAAAACTTTCCAGACCACAACCCTTATATTCTATCATGCAACAGGGGTTTGAACATTCCCCAATTTATAATCCAGTTCCTTTGTTCCCTCTAATGATAACTTTAGACATTCAAGGAAAACAATAACTTTTATGACTGATAAAGAACCAAATTCCAAAGTGAAATATCAAGCAAAAATTGAAAACAACCTTGTAGACAGCATTTCAAATGCGTTTTCATTTGCGTAAAACCTACCGCATACTTGCAGTCAAATAACCACCTCATGACTATGTTAAAAGTTAAAAAATTAAACCTGCAAACCACTTGACACCTCGAATCGCAATTATATATAAACCAGCAGAATTACTATGACCTTTATTAACAGCACTAATAATAACAGATGGCAAAGATTGGGATTATTTAAAAGTGCTTTCGAAGGCACTTTTCATTCTGATAACAGTGACAATGAACAGAAAGAAGAATATTTTACTTTAATAATGAAGATACGGTAAATTATGTGTGCTTTATTTTATTACTTAACATAAAACTTATTAATTTGAAGGCTGCTGTCTAACTGATTAGGATTCTTACCCGAAATATCAATTAATTGATAATAGTAAGCAAAACAGTACATGCTAGAGTAAGTATCCGAAAGCAACATCGTTTGCTAGATTCACAAAATATTCCAAATTTGCCACAAAAGTAACAAAGAATACTACCATTAATAACAGCATACGAAAAAGTAAAGTCAATCACTAACTTTACCATGCAATTCAGCCAGCAAAACTAGCACAAAGCCTCAGAGAACTGATAAAGGCGATGCACTAAAAATGATCATATAATATTTCTTCTATCGTCTTCCACTTCTAACACATAAATTTCGGTCCATTCTAATCTGATGAAAAGTACCAAAAAGTAGATTCTTTTCTAATATAAACAACAACTGTATCTTACGAAAATTTCCAAAGAAAATACAAATAGTAGTTAATCAAAAATTTATACTTCAAATTACTGAGATGCGTGAAATTCATCAAAATTGGCTTTGCCTATCATGGCAAAAAAACAATAAGAAAGCGAAGGATTCCAAATCAACTGGGAACAGTAATCACAATTATATCATTTTAATACAGTAAGCAGCACGCAACGCATAAGAGAATGCATGCATAGAGTGTCATAATATTGAAGAAATATTTATAGCCAATAAGAATAGAATTATTGCTTTTCCACGCCAATCAGCTTGTTTATGAAAACTTTCATTAACACCAACAACCACTTTCTTGCATTTGAACTTGTCGAATAGGTGCATCGCTTAACTTCACTTCTTGCACTATAAGTAAAAAACACAAAGTGTAGCACACCACATAAAACTTTTCCGACATCTTCATACTTGAATCCTGTTTAATTATATTTTCGACTACACCATGAAACATAAATAATAACGATCACAAGCAAAATAACTGAAGCAGCGCTTTGCATCACTTGCGTTTCACATTTATCTTCAATGCTACTTCATAACTGAATCTTACACGGTTTTTCAAAAAGTGAAAAACTACTGTACAAAAGATACGTTTATATTGATTAATTATGAGAAATGTTCTCAAAAGAATAAGCTATCGCGCTATTTTTGAGTGCATGAGAGTGACATTTTACCAAAATCCATATTTCTTGAATCAAAACTGTTTTAGACACATCTGACTCAGAAAACAATTTTTCGATACAAATATCAAAAATGAAAAAGACATACTGTCATGTTTGTCCTTCTGGTCGGGTTCAATGCCAGGCAGTGCTCCCGCAATACGTCGGAAAAGCTGAAAACAATTCAGGCCATCTGTAGATATTTTTGAATTTGATATATAGGATGCTATGTCTCTCATATATAAGATAAGTGCACGACCCTTTATTCACCAGATATATATGGAGTTATACCATTGAAAAGAAAATGTGAAGGGTTTTAATACTTTAGGATATGTGTAGGACTTACTTGCTTTACGTTGTAACCAGCTTTTGCCGAAGTTTCGATAAACATCACGTTCAATTCTTTAGCCTTACGTTCGCCTTCTTCTGTAGATACTTGTCTGAAATCCTATCTTGAAACAGAGCATTGATTAATATCTCCATAATAATAAAAACAATATTTCAAATTCGTGAAAGGGGACAGAAACTTATGCTGACACGTTATTATGCTTGTTTTTTCTTGATCTCAATATAATCGAAAACTATATACAACTCAGCATACTTTGTGAACGATGCTGCCAATAATAAATCTAGAAGTTTGAAAGCTCCACTTTATCACAGAGAAATAACTTATTTTAGTGCAATACTTTCTAACTAATTGATTCTTTCATTTTGTTATCCTCGTCTTTGATATTCTCTTACTCTTATTCTTCCTGCACAATCGCAATCTCTCAAGCATTAATAGTTGTTTTCTTCACATGATACTTTCTTACCTACATTATTTTTCCAACATCCTTATTACCATTTTTTCCTTCAAATACTGAAAAAAAGATGTAAAATGAAGAATACTAATTGAAATGTACCGTTTATCTGCTAGATCAGTTTTGTTGCCTACAAGCATAATGATTACATCACTTCCTCTTTCTGTGCGAACATCATCAATCCACTTTGACGTTTGGTGGAATGAATTTGCATCTGAAAAATGATAAACCGCTGCATTGGATTAACTTTATTAACGAAAAATAACAATAGCTATAATGAGTAAAAGACTTACTGAACGAAAAATTCGAAGTAAGCGAAATTATCATTTAAGACATCTATTATTAGAACAAAAGATTATAACATTCTAATTATTCCATATTCAAAATAATTGAGCATTACTCATATACAACTTTTTTTGGCATTATTTTTATTTTAATGTATACGCAGTGCTATGTTAACGGCAAAAACTGTCAGTGATTCCCAAAAATCGTCTTCGTATCATTTAGATTCTACGGATCACAGTAGTCGGTCTCAAACGACATTAGAGGGAAATCACTCAAAGTCATTCATAAATGTTCAGAAAATTACTGAAGAGGACGCATCTGGTAATGATATCGAAATCATGAACAATGTTTTGGTAAATTTTCACAATTCTTCAATTCAATATGATCACTTCTTTAACAAGCAAATTTTAGCATATACTCTACAATATCAGTATTTTTACAGAAACACTAAGTTGGCAGTAATTTTTCTAATTAATGTTTATAGATATGTTAACAGAAATTTAGTTGCGTTCCCAGTAAGAAAAACCCGATAAGAAATAATATATTGAACTTCTAGAAATTAAGACGAAATGAGTCAGTTACTCATAATTAATACTCCAAGTTCAGGCACACATGCAGAAAGAATGTCAAAAACGAATCGAACTATTGAAATTTGTTTTCGACACGAATTTTGAAAGAAAAATTCAAACATGCATAGACACACGAGATGAAATGGAAACACGAGCAGCAGCTTTTGAACAAATAATCCAATCTGAAACGCTTATAACCAAACCAGTGTAAGTATAAACGAAGCAAAACAGGAAAAATTATGCGTTCAAAAACTTGATACAACAGAAAAATTAATCAGCTTTTCAAATTATCCATCAAGCATAACTATAAAAACGTGATGCAGTGCCTAATATTATCAGTACTTTACTAAAACACTTGGATCTCACAGATTTAGAAAAAATATGAAACATAGCAAATTGCAAGTGAAATCTAAAAACCGAAAAAAATAAAGTAATTAAACTTAACGAATGAACAACAAACTATTATACTGGATTGAATTGAATTAATACAGAAATCTTTACATATTTTCAGCAAAGAAATTCCTACAGTTGAGCAGGACAACGAAGACGAATTTGGAGTAAATTTCAGTCAAACAGGATCAACTACTGATTTACGCATTGCATCACCAACTGAACCACAACCATCTATATCTGAACATGGTGCAGTGACTACTGCAACACCATCAACTGGTAAAACTAAAGACATAATTTCAATAAAGAAAACTGACAAAGAAGAAGTTTCTACCGAGTGTACAGAAAATATGAGCAAAAAAGCGACAAAAGGATTTGGTGAAGCAGCATTAACGAAAGTTAGCCAGTGGAGCAAAAGTGCTTTAAACTTTTTCCGGATGAAAAACCCTGCATCAGGTAAACTTTAGCCGTTTTCATTACTATAAGCATGATTAAGCAGTGTGAATTCAAACAGCAAGAGTATTTTCGGAGTGAAAAGTTTCTTCAAGCTAATTTTGCAGCACAAGAAATAGCCACATCTGAAAGGACATCACATGGAGAAAGCAGTGATTATTCCGACCATACTATAGTAGATATTGGAGGAGAACCTAAAGAAACTTTGAAGAAAACAGAAAAAGTTAATAATTATAATAATAAGTACACAAGAAAACCACAAAAATCAAAACAAGGATGTCGAAAAGGTACAAAACAAAAAGAATCAAAAAAAGTTAAGTCGGTACTGAAAATAAAAATACCAAAAAATTTTGGCATAAGTAGTCATCCGTTAAAAAAACATGCAGTTAAGCTATCAGGAGCAAGAAACCTGCTAAAAAAGCACAAAAAATCTGGGAACATTAAAAAAAAACAACCAAAGCCAAAATCAAAAGAGTTAAGATCTCGTAAAATACAAATCAGAAGCCTGGTATCAGGCAAAAAAGAAAAGCGAATAAAACATAAAAAGAAGTTGAAAGAAATGAATACCAAACAAAGAAAAAAAAGAACAAAACAGCGAAACAAGAAAAAAACGAGCAATAATTGAAGAAGCAACCTTCTAAAAATTTCATAGAAAACAAACAACGACTTAATCGCAGTGAAAGATTTTTTAATATATCGATGAGTGACATGCTTCATCTTTGTTTGAAATAAAGAAAATACATTGCAAAAGATGCTTTAGTTCTGTGTCTACACAGATACAAGCAATTTACTGAACTGCTACCTTTGTTATCACTTACGATCACTGTTATGCAAAGCAAGTTAAACCTGTCGCATATGATATCTATTAGTAAAATATACTATGACTAACAATATTTCATAGCAAAACTGCAATAGTTGCTTCTGCCTGATATGCATATAACACGTAACAAAAAGTGAATCACAAAACTAACTTGTGATATCATATACGACAACGGCTACCGTTGAGTCACGAATATAAGATGGAATTAACGATCGGAAACGTTCTTGTCCTGCAGTATCCCACAGTTGTAGTCGAACCTGTGGCAAAGCTACAGTTAAACTATAGTTGAGATCTTTATAAATTATAGAGTAAGGAGAAACAGACATGTAAAACTAACACTTTTATTTCCTGAATTAATGCTTCCAAAACATCTGCTTTTTACTAAGAAAAGTTTAAAAAGTCAAAGTCTGTTGTTGTCTCTATTATACATCACCATAGTAAATTGATTTCAGTATTAAATTTGATCTAAATGCATTATAAACACTTTCTTTCCAAACTATGTAAAAATATTTCAAAGTATTTTCTGAAAAAAATCAAATAACCGAAATGTGAAATTGTAAAAATTAAGATTACAATGTAATTAGATCAAATTTAATACTACTTTCATGTACGAAATTAATCGAAATGAAAAAGTGATAATATTTCAAGCAATCGACGGAATAATGCCCACTTTTCTTATCACTTTCCCAAAATTCTTCAAAAAAAAATTTCTAGAATTCTTCTTTCTAAAAATGATTAATTTATTAAACTTGCAGGTGTAGAAACGTACCGTTCTATCCTCCAGATACATAGTCTTGCTCAAGAAATCGATTCCTATAGTAGCCTGATAAGTATTATCAAAACTATCATACATAAATCGTGTTATCAAGGAGGTTTTACCAACTGAAATTATTTAAACAGTAGTAAATTCCCAAGTAGCAGCAATAAAAAATCAAACAAAATGAATATTTACAAATTACGTGAACCATACATACCGCTTTGTTCTCCCAAAAACACCAACTTGAACTTTTTTAATGGATTACCAAAATCTGAAGCCATTTCCTGAAATTAACCAGTAATTTTAGTAGTACAAAATCAATCTGCACAATTACAATGTTATTATTGAGCAACAAATTATACAATATTATACAACGTCGGACTGCACAATATGAATTGTTTTATAAATTATACGTGCAAATTCTAAAATTCACGCAACTGAATCACTCTGGCTTTTATTTTCAGCCGCTCATAAAACTTGTACTAAAGTATGATTGAAGAGCAAAAACACGTGAAATAGTATTAGCGAGAACACTTGATACTGACGTAAAAGACGTGGTGAGAAGAATTAGAAAACAACCCCAATCTATGCTTAATGACTCTATGCTTAATGATTATTCTTGACCCCAACTCGATGCAGCCTCCAGGTCATCTTTCCGATCCCTTCAACTCCCAAGGAAAAGAAAACGTCTATTGCAGCACGATACCCCATGAAAAACACGTCCAGCATGTTAGTTCGGCTCATACAGTAACCGATGTGACTTGGATACAGTGTTATTTTTAAGTTACCGTAGATTAACACTTTACGTCAACTGTGATCTGTTATCACTTTAAGTACCAAACACTGTGATATCCACATGTTTTTTTAAGTCATCTGCATTATTGAAGATGTACGCCACATGAAGTGTTGCTATATTTAAAATATTTTTCACGTGATATGGAGCAAATGTCATATTTTACGTAAATTTGATGTTATTCGAGTGAAAACAATGAATTTAACTTTCTGTTAATTCCATTACAGTATTTTATTGATCTCTAAATAATCAATAAACTACCAAATGGCCAGATTCTAATATCACTGCTGATAGTTCATATTATCAATGAAATAGCATCTAATTATTATTGCATATTCATCAGAATTTTACTAAAAAGATTGGCATTTCTTTGCAAAAATGAATGTATAATTTTGACAATTTCATCTTTTAATTACATTTTTTATTCCGTAAATCACTCATTTATTTACGAGTTTTTTGCGATTCTATTTCAACAAATATCAATTTGTTATTAGTATATCGTAAGATGTCAGAAGTCATCCATTAAAGGAAATGGAAGAGGATTACTTATCTGAATCTTTTCTTATCTCATTCAAGCATTCCTCAACAGTTCTAACTTTCATACGACAAGAATTCACCTTTAACCTTGGACATTTTACGGAGTCATTTATATAAATGTTTAAGATTAGTCGATCACAAAGTGCCTTTCCTTGACAACCGGTCCTATAACCGCGTCATTATATGTATGGCTGCGCAGTGTTATCATACTTGTCATCAGGTTTATTTTGTAATTTCAGTTCTTTAATAATACATTCATTTCAAGGTCAAATTTTGAAGACACATTTTGTATTAAATATATTTTGCTAAAATTCATTTTAGTTTTGCAGAATTATTGTGCCATTTTTTGATTTTAGTAAGTTTTCGGTGTAAACATATTACTCTCACAATTTTGCGCCTACTAATTTGCTTCGTTTTTGTAAGAAACTTACAAAAGCAATACGAAAATAGTTGTCATTTTCAGTACATTTAGAGGTCTGATAGTATTTTTGTTAATTTATTTTTATTAAGTTATTTTTTATTATTTTATAAGTCAAATTATCCTTTTATTACTTTTTCTTTGTAAAATAAAAAGATTTTTTGTCTTTACTTTTTACGGTAATTAATTCTTCAAACTATTACAAACTGCGTCTGTCGTACAGTACTTATCAGCACTGTATCTCAACACAAATCGTAATTTTAATATAACTTTGACTTTTTTTGTTAATTTATATATTTTTTGACTGCAAAATTTGAATTCTTTTGTTGAAAAAATTTTTATAATTATGTTTTTAAATTGTTCCATTTTGATAACTGTTTTTAAAATACTCTTTTTTTAAATATTTGATTTGTAAAAATTTTTATGCGATAATAAGTTTAAATACGAAAATTTAGCCTATGTGAAGTTTGTTTTTATGTATATAGTGAAGAAACGATGATTATTACTTACAAAGTATATGTATTGCGAGACTATACTATGCAAATTTAATTTCAGATAATTGCAAAAAGTTACTTAAATTTTTAGTTAAAAAATTATTGATTTTACACTTTAAATTACAAATCAGTTATTTGAAATGAATTAAAATATTAAAATTTCATATGAAACTTTTACGTAAAAAGAATAATTCTGCAATATTTTCGTATGCACTTCAGATGCAAAAAACTTCAAATTTCATATATTTCAGGAAAATCGTAAATAAATGTTTTAGAATGAAAATGAATAATCTGCGAAAAATTACACATGCAGAACTTGCTGAGCATAACAGTAGTAAGAGTTCATGGGTATGCATTGACAACAAGGTTTATGACGTGACAGAATTCCTAGACGAGGTGAATACTTTTACAGATAATTTTTTTTAACGTTGACTTATTCTAGTCCTTCATGACTTGTTCTGTAAATCATTGGCTTATTTGATTCATTGATGATTTGGTTGTGCATGACCAGATTCATTAATTTTTTGATTTGTAATTTATCATGTTTGAAAACTTGTCCTCAATAGATCAAAATGCTTGAATCAAAAAATAAACTCAGAATAATTTTTGGAAGACATTCCATCTAAGCACACTTTTTTAGCATCCAGGTGGTTGTGAGGTATTACTACAACAGGCTGGCTTAGATGCTACTGAAGCATTCGAAGATATTGGGCATTCTACTGATGCTAGAAAAATGTTACAAGAATATTTAGTGGCAGAAATGGTAGCTTGAAATAAAATATCAAATTTTGAGCTTTTTTTAAAAATTATTTATAAAGTGACAAAATTTTAACAATTTGCTTTATTTGTTTAATTAAATTTAGACTAGATGCCTTTCAAATTTTGTAAGTTTTCGATAAGTAACAAACTTTTTTACAATTTCTAAAAAATGTTCTGAAAAAAGTAAAGTTTGATAATTTCAGGAAGAAAAAGTGTCACATTCAAACAATGCAAAAATAGAAGTAAAAAAAGAAATAAAAGTAGCAAAAAAGTAAATTTCACTTCATACATAGTTATTTTTTACTCAAAAATTATTAATAAATTTTCAGCTTAGATTTTTTAATAATTATTTAAAATTTTAATTGTGTAAAAAACATTTCAAAATATTAGCAAATATCTTTAATTATGGCAAATTTTTTATCAAAAATTACCGTTTGTAATTGAATACATTTAATGACATATGAAAAATTTAGTGTTTGATAAGTCGAATTAAAAATAGCACAAATGATTATAATCTATTTTTGATATAATTGATCAGATTGACTCACAAAATGATCAGTTTTTCAGCAGAAATTTTACATAGTTTTTTAATATCTTAAATTTTTTCAAATAATCAAATCAAATGCTATTACTGTTTTGTTTCTGGTATTATATGTTACAGCTTTAGTATTAATTTCAGGCAATTCATCTCGTTCGATTCAGCGGTTCTGATAGTACTGTTGGCTGTTCTATATGTTATTGTATATTACGTTGTATTATACTAATAATATTTATTGAAATATTATTCAAATATAGAAAAGAGTATTCATCCACTTTTACTCACTAAGCAGTTCAGTTCATGTTTAGCATGTAAATGCAATTAATTTCCTTGTAATTTTTTATTCAGTTTTTCAGAATTTTGTTAAATTTTTTAAAAATTAAACAAGAAAAAAAAACTAATCAGTCAGTATTATTTAACTATTTTTCATGGGAAATTCATCAATATTAAACGAATCACTTGTTTGATTTGATCGATTTAATACACTAAACGTAATCCTACGTGCTCGTTGATTTATGCTAACCTTAGGTTGCAAAAGCTTCAATTTTTTGCTACTTCTTTTGATCTGTTTTTGATCCATCTGAAATGCAATTAACTTACATACAAACTATAATATAAATAATCAATTAATTTTTGATGTATTAAAAAATTACCCAAAATTTTAAAAAATATTGAAAATAAAAAAATGATAAATGCGAACTTAGAATAATAATTACATTCTTATTTTACTTATTACGTTTTCATTGATTTAATTATTACTTTACGATATTTAGATTTTTAAATTATAAAGCATAAATATCATAAAGTAATGATAAAATAAAGGTGTAATAATTAGAAATTAATCAATTAAAAATAGGATTTGAAAATGTCCAAAACAATGGAATTAAGTATTGTGTAGTATAAAAGGTCCCAATTAGCAGTGTTACTAATGAAGAATCTCGAAAATCGCTAGCGCTTCAAATGCTGCTGTTTTCGACTTTTGACTTAATCAAATTATTGTGTTACAAAAATTACGTACAAAAAGTGCTGCGTTCCAAGCGGCATTAAGCGAAGCTTCGGTGCGCGAGAACATTGCATCACGTTTAGATAACTTTTCCCACGGCATCCATGGATTGTATCTAATAACCGGTTGTTCTCTAATATGTTTTCGAGCAGTTGGTATTAATTCTTTCACATTTTCATGCGTAGATATCTGAAAGTAAAATTTGAAACATTGGACTAATTTTTTTATTTGAACTTGCAAAATTTTAAATATTCAATTTAATAATTGCTTAAGTTTTAATTTGGATTTCAGTCAATTTGATGGATAAAAATGAATCTTTGCTCATATTAAATCCTAATTATTTTATCGTTGAATTTTTTTATACTGTAGTTATTCTATTTTTATTCTAAAGCTAATGTTCTACTTATTCTTCCCTCGAACTGCTAATAGCACCATCTCATTCTTTGCTGACAACGGGTTGATACAAAGATCTAAATTCTTTCTAATCTAATTCATAATGAGCTAAAGAAGCAAAAAAGTGCAATGTGTGCATAAATTTGCAAAAAAAGAAAAAATAGTGACTTCACACCTGCGTGAAACAATAAATCAGCAAATTCAAAAAATGATTTAAATGAATTAAAAATAAAAAAATCAATAATAGATCAAAAAAAACCTAAACCTAAATGAGCATTTGATTTAGAGTTAATACTTGCTCTGATAGTCAAATCTTTAATCAAAATATACCAGACTTTTGAGATCAGTCTTGTCATTCTTCTTGGATAGCTTTTCTAATTCTCTGCCTGAAAGAGTACTTGTGCTTTTTTGCGAGTCATACGATGTCAATTCACTTTCCGTACTATTTTCCATATCACGTATTGCTTTCGTTGATGAAAACTACAAAAACAATACAATAATTGTACAAAAATTATACGGTAATTGTAGTAGAATCTTACTATTTAAAAAAGTATAAAAATAATTGTTATCATTTTTTTTACTTTCAAAAATTATTACTTTTTAATTAATTATTTCAATTAATCATCCATAGTATCATTCAAAAATTCTTAGCATCAAATAAATTATTGAAATTAAAGTATTCTATTGAAATGGAAATAATTTTGAGCGAATTATTGAAGCACAAAAAAAGATGCTTTTTTATATTGTAAAAAAATTTGACACAAATATTCAGACCTGATTTTTATTCCTTTTCTGTTTTGCTGAACAGCTTAACTTTTCCTGAAAATTTATTTTGAAAAAATTTCAGTAATTGTTTAAATTAAATTCTAATAGTTTTTGACATCTGCACAATGTGCTTTTGGGAAAGTTTTCAAAAAATTAGTTGGTTCAAAATAAACTTTGAAAAAATTATAAATATTCTTCAAATAATTCTGTCATTTAATGTTTCCGTGAATTTAGAAGTTTCTAATTGATAGTAACGTCATTTCCAACTCTTTGTTTTGAATTTGTGATGCTGGAATTTGAATCGGAGTTCGTAGCAAATACTTTTACCGCTTCTTCAGTGTCATTATTCGTCCCACTTTTTTCTACAACATAAATTAAATATTATTCCATTTTCAATAAGTCAAAACATTTTTAATGACGTCATTCTAAGAGGTCAATGTACATTGACCTTTTAGAATTTTTAAAAATCACATGTTACAGCCTGTTGATAGTGTTATTTTTTGTTGTAAACTTAATTGCCCACTTAAATATTACCTTAAATTATGAGGGAATACAATTTTTAGCTTAAAAAAACTAGTGCTGCAATTCGAAAAAGAATAGCCACTACAGTTCTGATAAATAACCTTTACAAAACTTTTTATAATTTTTATTCAATTGCAATAACTTTCAGCCAAACTTTTCAGCCTAATTTTTTTAGCATTTGAAAATAGTTTAAATTTAAAAGCACACAGTTTACTCAACTCATTAATAAGTAATTGTAGCAGAAACTTTTACCAAAAAAAGTAAAATTTTTGTAACTAATTTGTTATTCAAATCAAATGGTAAAGCAATAAACAAATGTGTCATCATAACTTAATTTATAAATTAAATCTATAAATTGTCTCAAACTGTGATATTGATGAAGCCCCTGACAAATGCGAATATATCGAATGGATGAATAAATTTTTGAAAATTTTTTCTTGTAACAAAAAAGTATAATTGCACGTAAGTTTTTTGTTGGTAAGTTTATTGCAATTATTTTTTTCAAATAATTTTATGATAATTGTTCGGTATATTCGCATTTTCAAGAGTTAAGTTATTTTTGCAAACTTGTATTTCAAAGTTAATCAGAAAGATTGAGCACAGAGTGATAACAAAGTTTGGAAGGAGCAAAAAGTAAAAAGTAAAGTGATTTGATCATGACCTATTTTCGAGAAAGGCGCGATAATTCCTTTGATTGTCTTCTTAATGCGCGAAAATAACTGCATATAGGGGAGTTTTCCCGCAAATCGACAACCGCTACTCAAATTTCTCAAGTAACAAAATTTACACATTTGACGTTTACTTTCTGCTTTTGACTGAGTTAATTTCAATGCTAATTTTCAGCAATATGCAAGTTTAAAATTTATTATATCTGAAATGACTATTCACTATTTGTTTTTAATTTTATCTTTTGACGGATATGCAAAAATTTTTGGCATAAATAGATCAGTAATATTGATTGATATATTACAGAGTGAAAATCGATTCTAATCTCTCAAATCTAAAGTAAAACTATTTCAATTATCAGTCAGTTATTTTACTTTATTGATCAGTACGGTAAATTGACATTAGCGAAACTGACTGCCAGTTCAAAAAAATAACTATTTTAAGTTTCATTTGAAACCAAATTGTATTTTAAAATTCAAAGCTTTACTTTGCTAATTCTATTTTTTCTTCTGCATATTTAATGTATTCAAACTTCATTGTTACGATATTTTGAACTTTTTGAATATGTTCAGCTGTGAAGTTTTCATTACTTAATACAGGTTTACTCAAATACTTATATCTGCATATAAGTAATAATAAATTTAAATTTTCAATTATTTTAAACATAATAATTATTAAACAAGTTAACAACATACTGACAGTAAATTAATAGAGTTCAAAGTGATATCAATTCTAGATAACAGTCATTCTATTATTTTATAGCTGAGTTGTTTATCATCACTCAACTTTATGCATATATTGTGAATCAGAAGATGAAGTCATGGGTATGGATTCTATTGATTTTGACTATTATTTCTGAAATTATAGCTGTGCCATCGAGAAAATCTGCACTAGAAACCAAAAGACAAAACTCTGGCAGGTTCAAATTTACTGTATTACATTCCTCTCATACAGTTTAATACCTACTTACTTTTTTACAGCTAACTTTTACTATTTTATGAATGCATTTGATTTCATTATTAATTGAAGTAAATTTTAATTTTGAAGGAGAAAAAATAAGTTACAAGGAATAACGTTTTGGAAATCAGAAGCTAGCCAAATAGTGCTGAACTTGAAACGAAAAATTCAAGAAGCTTACGACAAAGTTTTCTGGAAAGTCGCGGGATTTTTCGATGGGAAAGTTTGTTTATTTTTACAGTAATTCATTTACTGCAAAATGTAGCAGTCTTAAACAGCAATGATTAAATTGGACAGACTAATAATTATGTATTTTTGAAAATTTTGAATTAGCTTTCTGAAAATAAACCAAATCTCTTATTTACCTTTTTTTGTTTAGAAATATTTATTTTAGAAAGTCGAGCTAACTTATAAAAAATGTTCTGTTTCTTAAGCTCATACTTATTCAATCATGCGGAATTACGATTCGTATACTAACTTTATAATTTTAGCAGTCGTACACATGGAAAGTTTTTGGAAAAAGTATACGAATCGTAATTCCACGCATGCCACGCTCCTGGAAGGAGTTCAAAGGACGTTTGGCTAGTATAGAACGCGTGATTCGTGACAATTCACGCATTCGATATCTAGCAGCAATTTATGCAAATATTGCGTGAATCATTTACTTTAAAAATAAATATTGTTCAATAAATTTAATGAGAGTTGGATTTTAAGCGTTTATTTAATAACAAAATTTTAAGTTAGTATTTTAAGAAATCTTAAAATCTTAAGTTTATTTAGTAGCATTTGCAAACAAATTCAAAGCTCTAAATCGTTGTTACAAAATATTGTTCTTACAATTAATATCACCATTACTGCTGATTGAATGATATAATTACTTGCATATTTTTGGTATTTTCAATAAATTTACTTCGTAGTGTAGTGATCAGTAATATATCCAATTTGAAATATAAATTATATTTTCAGGGTTTTTGTAATAACTTATATAATCATATTTATTTACAACATACACTGTTATTTTCGTTATCGGCAAGTTTGGGCAGCTAATAAGAATGATGAGTTAATATTCAAGCCAACTTGCACAACAGATATCTTTTCGGATTTGCAGTCATACTTGACGACTGCAAGAAACAGGTAAATATCTCTCAGAAATACCAGAATTTCCCAACAAGAATTCTTTGAATACTAATTAGTCAAAAAATTTTATATTTCATATTTTACTTTATTATAATATTTCATATTATCTGATTAAACAACTATTATTTTGTTGGTACAAAATATTAGGAATGTGTAAAAATTTATACTGAAATAAAAATTGGGCGCCAATTTATTTTTAATAGTTTGAATGCCACTTGATGATAAAAAGTTGACAGGTCAAAGGGTAAATTTTCAAATTTTAGCATCCTTGAAACTTTGATTGATTTCATTCACTATTGATTCAGCAAATGGAAATAATCATTTTCAAGGTTTTAGAATATAATATTTTTAAAATTAATTTCAAAAGCCGAGAAAAAAGAAACGTTCATTTAGGCTTGATGACGAACAAATATGTGCAAATGCTTTGTCGAGTCCTTCAGAAACAATTTTAGAAGATGATCAAGAAACTGACAATCGAATATTAGCAAATACATTAGTGCAAAGGATTCTTGCTAGAAACTGCACTCAACGAACAAACTTGTCAATATAAATTTTACATTTTTTTAGCAATCAAAATTTTTTGAAGTAATAAATATTTTACTTACACGTAAAACAATTTCTTGTTTTACGTATAAGTGAAATTATTCAGCAAGAAATTCATTCAAAAAACAAACTGATAAACTCAAAAAGCTTACTTTAGAAATCTAAAATTCGTTTGAGATTTACGAGAAATTATATATTAAACTGCTAATTACTATTGTTTCGCTTACTAGTCGTTTAATACTTTAAGAAGTGATCAGAAGAAAATATTAGCTGAAAAAAAGTCGTCAACTTTACCGAAGGCAGCAGACAAAAATGTTTCCGTTCAAAAAAGGTGTACTCAATTATTACAAAGTTCTAAAAATTCAAATTTTAAAGTTTTCAAGTTTTTAAATACCATTTTATGTTCTTTTTTTAGATAAGTGTCCATTGGTAGCTTGAATTTTTGTACCTCAGTGTTGTTATTTATATTTGTATTAATTTAAATTTCAAATTTAGAAAACAATCTTATTGAGATCAAAAATTTTTTAGGTACTCTTTACAGTAAACTGATAAGGAAGGGACACAGTAATTTTCTTCAATTTATGAAGAACTACGTATCAACCAAAAAGCGAATTCCAGGTGAAGTTTTAAGGCTAAAGGTCAGGTCCATTAATATATTTGGATAAGATAAGCTAGAATACAACAAGCTGGTCATTTTCTTATAAACAAGCTCACAATTTTTCGGTAAATTATGAAAATTTAATAAAAAGCAAACTTTTTTGGGAGGATTTTTATGATAACCCAACGCTATTAATATGACGGATCGAGCATTCGAAAAAATCATGCTATGATCAAATGAAGACAAAATGTAATTAAAAAAGAATTAATACTTTAGTGGTCACGCACATCACGTGAACAATTTATTACAGACATTTGGAGTTTTACTTATAATTCAAAAAGTAAATATCAAAAATTTGTAAATGGAAATCATCATTTAATGTGAATTCTTACGTTGACCATCGATGAATATGAAGAAAATATTTTGCTTAAAGTCGTTGTTTACAATTTTTTCTAAATTTCGTGTATTCTTAATTTAATGAAATAAAAAAATTCTTCTCGAGACGTTTGATTTTCAGAAGTTGATCTAATTTAGCAAATCAGTGAGGATTCTGAAATGCATTCTTTCTGTTCCTTCTCAAGAATTTTCAAGACTTTTTGATCTCTTCGAGACTATTAATGAAAATTATTCAGGAGCTTTTCTCTGTAATTGTTGATGCTAATACTGTAATTGGTTAAATTTTCGCTTATTTCCTACCATAACTGATTACTGTTTGTAAGCCATAATAAAATTTTTCATTTTTTTCTATAACAATCAAAATACAGCAAATTGAATCCGAAAACGGTATCAGATAAAACAAAGTACTCAAAAAATTGCAGAAAACTACTCGCATAATTTGGCTGGAAACTGATTTCAAATATCAAAGCCACCATGATAGCAACACGGTTACAGTAAGTCAGACAGTAATATATATTTGGTAAAATTACGGTATGCAGGAAGATACGGAAGTCATCTGAGTTGTAACTGCTAGAATGTTTTCAAAGCGATCACAAAATTCGTTATGATACTCAAGTAATTTTATATAATTTTGATGGCGGACGTAAGTAGTTTACGTTTTCCTGCAGTTTCGGCAGTGAGTACACGTTGTCTGTAATATCTGGTACTACGTTGGTTGATTTAGCTTCAATGTTTTATTGAGTTTGCATTTTGCAGCATTTTATATGACAACTACTCCACTTTTGCAAGCAGAAGAAGATGTTGAACTTGCCAATTATCCTGATCTACCTAGTTATGATGAAGCATTAAGTAGATCAAAGACAGATCAGGGTAATCCAGGAAATCATTTTCGAACGATTGGCACTGATTTTGCTAAAGGTACTGCAAACCTGAGTGCTGTTGCTCTTTCTAATATCACTGTTCGATTAGGTATACTTTTTCTTGGTATTTATAATTCTCTCAGCAAGTAATCAAACTACTACAGTTCATGCATTTTTTCAAAATCCGTTTATTACTTTTATGTATTTATTTTTCAGTAAAAATAAAAATAGTGTTTTGTATAATATTAAATTTATCAATTTATGCAAGAATAATTATTTTATTTTCTAATTAGGTGTTACTTGTAGTTTTTATTCGTAGTTTTTATTCCCTTTATCAAAATACGTATAAATACGTGAGATGTCTCACGGGTATAGAATATTATAAAAAGTGCATATGAAATGTAACTATAATACTTTGCCCCCACAGAATTCAGTTTGTAGAGTAATTAATTTAAAATTTTTTTGTATGGTTTAAATTGATAACACATTTAAATTTCAGGATTTCTTCGAAAAGTTTTCGGCATACTGTCTTTTCAGCTGTTGATCACAGCCATATTTTGTACATCATTGTATGTGACACCAGAAGTACGTCTGTTTTTGCAACAGCAGTAAGCTTTTTTTGTTTTTTGTCATATTTTTAGAATGTATAATTTATTTCATCTAACTTAAGATCTTATCTGTTTATATCTTTTATATTTTTGCACTAATTGATTTATTTGCAATGACTTATTTCATTATTTCAAAGAAAGTTATTTTCAAAATAGGTAGAATAGTTATTGTAAAATTCAAAAGTTTCTCCACTAAGATTTCAGTGTAAAAAATCAGTTTCTAAATTGAAAGTGAAAAGAGTTTTCCGATATTAAATGAGGAAATATAAAAAATATACGTTGCTATTATGCGCTGCTATTAGGCTTACATATTTATTTACGTCAACTTTCATTCAAACTGCAATAATGTTTTAGGCTTTAGAATCATTAGTTTTTTGTTGTTTAGTTGAGTAATTGACCTCATCATCATCTGATGATAGATAATCTTTAAAAGCTGGAATTACATCACGTATATCTAATTCATAGAAAACGTAGTCAGTTAGTCAGTTACTAAATTGACATTTGGAAATCACTACACTCTAGAAGATTAAGAAAAGCAGTAAAAATCAGTCCATAGTGCACACTTATTCGACCTCACTAATTACTGCATTACCATTTTGATCGAATATATCAAAGAATTTTTGGATAATTCTTTTTTTCTTTACTTTTCACCATATTTTTGAGATTTTTTAAAAACTAACAATTCACCGAAACCAATTTCTTCATTTTTACGTTTATCAGCTACAAAACATTTTTCGTTCATTTATGATTGTCTTTGCTTATTCAGAACCTGTCTTAAGAGGAATCTTATAAATTTAAATTGTTACGTCTTGCCTCTTCAGTGAACTGTTCAGTTTGTTCTAACTAAACAGTTTATAGACAGTATTAAGATTTGAGACTTAGTTTTTTTCCAAAATGCTTTCTTAATAAACTGAAGAAAATGACTTTCAAGCAAGATTTTTATGTTCATTTTATGTAAATTATTAAATTGCTTGGTTTTTGATGGAAATGTTTGAATAGAATTCACTTCAAAACCAGTAGGTTAGAGAAAAGGCTCTCATTAGGTTTGTTTCTTGTCTATCATCTTTGTTATCAATTTTATTTTTTCAGATTTGATGGAAGAGTTGGAATATGAATCTAAGTTCATTGCTTCAGTTGTGCATAAAACAGTGCATGTAAAATAATATCAGTCTCTCATTGAAAAATTAAAATTAATTTATACATAGTTTACAGTTGGTGACGATATTGCGTTTGCAATAATTTAACTCTGACGTAAATATTTTTTAAATTTCAACTAAATTGATAGTAAATACGGATAGTTTTTGGTTGTAGCTTTTTACTTTTTATCTTACTTTAGCTATTCTCAAAGTTTGTGATTAAAATATGTCCTAAAAATAAAATTTAGGAATTATTTTGACATTTCCTTTCGTAATTTTCTAAATTCATTACAGATGGAACAATGTATCGTCAGTTGTATCAGTAGTTTTCTGATAAGGATTATTCACTTTATTTTAAGTCAATTGCTAGAAAAATTTGCTTAACTAAGATTCGTATTTCAAACTCTTCGATGCAGATAATTCGCTGTTATTAACCATTTGATCTTATAAGGATATTATGCTTATAAATATTTAATGAAGTCTTTATCCATTTCTTAGAAAATCCACATATTGGTGTGGATAAATGTAAAAGTTCTGAAAAACTGAAAAAACTAGCAGATTTAAAAAGATATTAATACTGATGTTGCTTATTTTCATGCTTGAAATAAAAAAACGATGCTACAGTGAATATTTTGCTCATACAGATTCATGCTTATTTATATTTTCATAGTTCTCAGCAAAAAAAAGCTTAAAGACCAGAGTTTTAAATTGAGCATAATTACAGATAGATTAGGGTAACATGAAAATTCTTTTTTTTTATTGAATTATACATCACATTGAATAAAGTATTTAATTAGTTTATTCACTTACATTATACTATTTCTGTTTTCAGATCATGGATATTAATCTTATCTGTAATGGGTTCGTTCATTTTACTCTTCGCAATGTTTATCAATGCTCGTAGAACTCCCCTTAACTATTTTTTGCTGATTTTATGGACCATTGCACAATCAGTTACTGTTGGTACTGCTGGTAAGGGTTTTTATTAGTTTTTAATTGAATGAATGAATTAGTTATGGACAATATTGTAATTACGTACTTCATTTTTTTTTTCAAAAAAAATGCTTTTTTGAATTGCAGAAAGTAATTTTCTTATAAGATTATCTTCATTTCATGCAGATTTTTTTATTGTTCATTTATGATTAACGAGTATTAATTTTATTATCTGCATTTGTGGAAAATAACTGAGGTCAGTTACAAACAGTGTCTAATTCAAAAATAAATATGTTAGTAGAAATCGGTTGAAGCCAACAGTACTAATAGGCCTTATAGAACGAAAAATTCTCTTTTATGGATGAGGTTTGTATTTTGCTAAAATCAGGAAAATTTTATTTCAGTTTCATTTTTTGAAGCAAAAATCGTTATTCAAGCAGTCATTCTAACAGCTTTGACTGTGATCAGCTTGTTTATATATACATTACAGTCACAATGTGATTTCCGAAAGCATTGGGCTGCGTTGTTTAGTGTTTCTACCGTTTTTCTGATTGCTTGTCTGGCAAATGTAAATATTTACTCTCTTACAAAGTTGATTTTTTGAATTGTTATGTGTGGTATTTTTTGTTGTGTATTACAATGAAAATATCCTTTTCCAAAACATAATACATTTTTTCCCTAGATTGCTTTACGTTGCAGATGTTGCTGAACTAAAAAATGAAAGAATATTTTCGTAAAGAGTTTTTGTCAGCATATACTTGGTATATATATA